GGCATTGGTGTGCCGGGCTCACCCATCACTCTTGAGAGTATCTCTTCCAAGATTTCCATAGGAGCACCTTTAACCCCTTCCTCTGTAGCAGCTGCAGGACCACCTTCTGCCCCTTCCTCTGTAGCCACTGCAGGACCACCTTCTGCCCCTTCTTCTGTAGCCACTGCAGGAGCACCTTCTGCCCCTTCCTCTGTAGCCACTGCAGGACCACCTTCTGCCCCTTCTTCTGTAGCCACTGCAGGAGCACCTTCTGCCCCTTCCTCTGTAGCCACTGCAGGACCACCTTCTGCCCCTTCTTCTGTAGCCACTGCAGGAGCACCTTCTGCCCCTTCCTCTGTAGCCACTGCAGGAGCACCTTCTGCCCCTTCTTCTGTGGCCACCGCAGGAGCACCTTCTGCCCCTTCCTCCATGGGATTATTTTCTCTTGGCTGCAAAAATTAGAATGAATCAACACTACCTGAACACTAGAAAATAATATGAAGATATTTCACGTTTCATCCTCTAGAAAGCACAGAAACTTGTCTTGATTCAGCCAAATGTTAAAGGACACGCTTAACCATCCTTTAGATTTGAGTGTGATAATTTGAGAATCTAAAGTCTAAAGACAGTTAGAAAACAAGTTAGATCTGTATTTTTCTTCACTGATTTGTAGCATGGTCTTTGGCAATGACTGTGTAATGTTTATTTTCAGCAAAGGTTTAGATTTAGATTCTTTTTTAAAAGTGAAAACTGGAACTTTGTTATAATATCTACTGGACTGGAGACAAGAGTGCAGTAGCAACCTGTGGGGGGAGGTGGAGCAGCCCTCCAAACACTGGTGCCACCTACCGGGATGGGGCTAGGATAGGTTAGGTGTTAGCAAAGTCAAGGCTACATGGGGATGTCAGCAGGGCCAACCCAGTGCTCCCACCATTGTACCTGTGCAGCCCCAAATTCACAGCCACCCTGCCCCACCCAGGTAAGCTGCAAGGATGCTGGTGGCAGTAGGGGAGCTCTGCTGCTCAACCTCATCATGTAAGCTGCTACTGCAAGAGCAACAGCAAAAGCATTGATAGTTCCAGAAAAGAATCAAAATAATTTGACTACTGAATACCACAAAAAGGAAGCAGCTTTGCTCTTCTCAAACCATGTAAATTAACTGGATTGTTTTCCTACTGAAGAATCATGAATACCTACCTCTGTGGTCACCCCATCATCTTGATTTTGGCCACTTGTATTTTGCAGCTGCTCAGTCTATTCAATACAAAGAAAAGGGTAAGTGTGTGAAACATAGACATAGAGGAAAATAGCATTCTATTTATTTATTTTTATTTCCAATATTTATAGACCACTTTTCATCATTGATGGTCACAAAGCAATTTACAGAACAATCAATGAAACAACTCTTCAGTGACTTAATATGGTGTTTAAAACAAAAACCACAGGCAAAAAAACATAAATTCACAAATAAGCATAAAATGACATACTTAAAATGCCTGCTGGAATAGAAAGGTCTATGACAACCATCCAAAGTTCAACAGGGAGGGTACCTGTTGCTCTCAGCTGGGAAACAGTTCCACAGAGTCTGACACATAATACTGAATGCATGGCTCCTGGTGGACATGAGCCGTGGATCTGAGTCATGGGGCACCACAAACAGGGAATCCACCCTCAGTTAATGGGTTGGGATATAATGATCCTTAAGGCACCCTGGACTCAAGTTCTTAAGGGCCTTGTAAATTAATACAAATATACATATCACAATAATTCAAACCAGTGCTAGTGAGTTCCTCAGTTCAAACGTGTGCAGTTCAAGTGAAACTGTGTCTTTAAAGATGTGGTTCACTTTCTATATATAATTTTAATTCTCCAGCACATCAAAATCCTTGCATTTATATTACCTCTTCATCTTTTGCAAGCAGCTCTTTTTTCTCATCTTCTGCAATTTCTCCATGCTCCGATTCAGCACTTTATTTTAAATTTAGAGAAAATAAATTATTTTAATAACATTACAATCATATGTTGAAAAAGCAGTTTAGATTTTGGTGAATTTTATATTCAGGCCAGTTTGCAAGGCAGGGCACCAATACAGAATGACAACAGTAGTAATTTGCCTTTGTTTCATTTTGGCAAACCCAATTTGATATCTTAGTGCTACAGATTTATACTGTACTAACTGTGCAATCCTATGCATGCCTACTCAGAAGTTGAGTTCAGTGGGACTTCAGTCCAAACAAGTTTATATAGGGTTGTTGTTGTTGTTTGTTTGTTGTTTATACTCTACCTTTTTTACTGACAAGACTCAAAGCAGCTTACAGATAAAAATAAGAAAAGGGGCGGGCATTAAAAAACAATTAAACACACACACACACACACACACACACTATTACAGCCATAGCAATGGTTGCAGTCCAAAAGTCCTGAAGAGTCAAGAGGTAAATGAATAATATCATCAATGTGAATGACAATCTAAAGAGAAGAAAGAGTTCTGTGTGGAAGGTGATACAGCTTCCACAATATTCTTTGCTTCTTTTTACCGCAAGTTCTAATGATGACTTTAGCAGTAAGTTTCAGATGCAAATGTGCAGCTTGGTTGACTAGAACAGACAACAAGATGAAAGGTGAGAGCTATGTTTCTTTTAATAATGCATGTGTGCTGAATCAGTCTAAATAGGAAGTGGATGAATGGAGATTCTGGGTTCACAGGAGCAGGTGGTGCTAAAAGAGGGAAGGGAAATTGGGAGCTCTGGCTTATTGATGGAAATAAATAAGGATAACAATAGCCCAATATTTGAGAAGAGAAAGATACAAAATGCAGTTGTTTGAGAGGCTGGAAGTTGTGAGGAACTGAGCTTTTAGTGATTACATAAAGAGTGGTGAAAATGGTCTTGAACCCTAGGAAGAGAGCTGAGATGCAAAGTGTGAGGAAATACATAGGCGCCGACTCCATGGGGCCTGAGGGGGCTCGAGCCCCCTCAAAAAATTTTTTTGGGGGGCTCAGCCCCCCCAATAATCTCGGGCGCCCTTCCAGCAGAGCGCTGCCACCGTCCCCCGCTTCCTCCCCACCTGCTCCCTCGCCAGCCAGCCAGCCAGCCGCGCGCCCTAGTCGGAGAGCCCCGGCCGTCCCCCGCGAGATTAGGGAATCCCCGGGGGCGGGGGCTCCTGCCTCGCTGCTTCGCAGCACCACCGCCACTGCCAAGGCACTGCCGGGGGGAATTTCCTTCCTCCTGGCGGTTTCAGCCCCCGCGAGAACGACCGGGTACCAATCGGCTGGCTGGGGGTGTGTGGCTTGCCCTATTTAGGGCCGGAGCGGAGGGGGCTCGCCCTCTCTTCTCCGGCTAGCCCCACGTTTCCCGCATATCAGCTGTTCCGGAGCTGATTAATAGGCGCAGCACGCTCTCCCCTATTCGCTCACGAGGAGGCGGCGCCACTTTATTTGCATATTCATGAGGTTATTTATTATTCATGAGCTTTCCCGGGCCCCCCCAATATTTTTTATAAGTCCGCGTCCCTGAGGAAATAGGAAGTAAGGGGACTACAAAGCTGATGACAACAACTAGAAAGTATCTGGGCTTGTGCTTAGGGAGAGGCTCTTGTGCTTAGGGTCCTCCTTGAGCAAAGACCAGATGGGAGGACAAGCTACACAAAGTAATGTTTGAAATGGATATCAGGCATGGGGAAATGAGGGCCATGCAGTTCACCCCAATGCATGTCAACTCAGAAATAAATTCACTGGGACTAAGTAAGCACACATAGGATTGCAGCTGGCGGGAGGGGGGCAGAGTAGAGGTTTGGAAGATCCTTGTTGTTGTTGTTTAGTCGTTTAGTCATGTCTGACTCTTTGTGACCCCATGGACCAGGCACTCCTGTCTTCCGCTGGGAGATCCTAGAAGCTGGTAATATGGGGGGACTGAGGAGAAAAGTAAAGGGCATCAGCGTCAGGGATGTCCCAACAAAGCGCCTTTTGGTCAATTGAGTGGAATGGGGTATTTGTTGACTGTTTGCAATGGGAGGTGGAATATTGAGAAATGGAGGGTGGAGCTGGTGGGTAGGGCAAACAAGGAGTGAAGCGGCAGGGGGGGGAAGCAATGGTCTGTCTTATGGGGCTCCTTTTCTTCACCCACTAACAACAGAAATTCCCATTCACATATATGCCCATTCTCCCTTGAATTCAAGCTTTCTTGATATACGATCACAGCCCTAGATTTTAGTAGCTGAATGGGGGCGGGTTGGGGGGTGCTGTTAATGAGGGCACAGCAATGTAGATCTACAACCAGAAACTCATTTTATTTTATTTTATTTAAAAGGAAAAGTGGGGGGGGGCTGCCCCCCCCAAGAAGAGAGATACTAAAAGGGCTTAACTAATGCAATACACTGAAGGGCAGCAGCCTTTTCTGGGGCACCCTTTCCCCTCATCACAATGCACCCCTGTGCCTGCCCCCTCTCTAACCCAAGTGCCTTGAACCCGCTCCCTTAAGCGCTCACCGGCTGCCGCTCGGCTCCATCCTCCTCCGTTGCTAGGCGACGCTAAACACATCCAGCGCTCTCTCTTCCTTTCCCTTTCTCTCTCTCTCTCGTGCCCCGCCCCGCCTTCTTCTCGGATGATACCACTTGCGGGGAGCGGGAGGAGGAAATGGAAATATGGTCCGAACCATTTCTGTGCTTCAGGCCGTCGCGCCCGGACTAGGCTTTAAGAGACATGCATATCGAGGGACGGGAGACAAAGACAAACGAAAAAGATTAGAGTGACACGTTGCATGAACTGAAGATAATTTGTCTCTTGAAATAGCTGATTGGCTGAGCTTCTCTATGGTCGCAGAAACTGTGTCAATTAGCTTTTTTTTTTTGCAGTAAACGTTAGCGGGGGAGGAATACCAGCTCAGTTTAATTTTAATCTATAGAGAACTTTGTGAGTCCACTCTTCTTTTTCCTCTCTCTATGGCCAACAAACCTGTGCGTCTGTTGCTTTTCTTTTTTTTAAACTCCTTCAACTCTCGCGATATTACTGGAAGGCTCCGCCGGCCCGTCATCCTTTTCGCGGCGTGAAAATTGGCGGGAAAGAAAGCAGGGCCATGTCGGAAGACTCTCGCCTCGCGCAGTCGCCGCCGCCGCTGCCGCCTGTGAAGGTCCTGGCCGCGCACCTGAGGCGGTGCCGCCGGGTCCCTGGCGGGCCGTGGCTGCTGGACCGGGAGGAGTACCGGCGCCCCGCTCTCGCCGTGTCGCTGGTGTGGCTTCAGGGCACGGTGCTGGCCGTGGAGGAAGGTGGCTCGACGGTGCGGCTGCGGGACGACAGCGGCCCTTTCGTGGCTCAGGGCGTGGAGAAGATCCCCAAGGGGCAGCCTTGCCTCAGCGCCGGGAAGTACGTGATGGTGATGGGCCTGGTGATGTCTTGCAGCCCAGAGCCCACCATCCGAGCTGTGAAGATGACGGACCTTTCAGGCAACCCCCTGCACAGGGACATGTGGCAGCTGGAAGTGGAGGATTTGCATAGGCACGTTTTGTGATGGGAACAGTTTGTCAAAACAGCTTCTCAAAAGAACCTAGGAGGCTGAAGAAGCACCTTTGGATTTATTTATTTTTTTATGAGGTTCCTCCTTTAGGAGAACTTGGATTAACCAGCGGAATTTGACCTTGGTTCCTTTGCTGCAGATATGACAGAGCAATGGAGATGGAAATGCTTGCATCCCAACCCCCTTTTTGGAGGAGGGCCGTCACTGATTTCCAATTAGTCAAATTGGGTCAAGTAACGTTAGCTTATCCAGTGGAGAATGCAGTTGTCACTGCTACGATAAAACATCCGCAGTCAAGAATCTGGTTGCAAAACTTTGGGCTCTTCTTTCGGCCTGCACTTTCTCTGTATTACAACGCATCTAATGTTGAGTTGCCGATTTCACTACCAGTTGCAGTCCAGACATCTGACTTCAACTGTAATTCCTTGAACTGCTATGTGAAGTCCATGCTGCTTTGAAATACTGTTTCCTCTGCCCCAGGATATATTTGGACTAATAGATTTTCTGGACAGCTATACACATGTGGCTTCAGGGAGACACTTGCAAGATGGACAAAAGTTACAATAAAAACCTGAGCCTATTATCAGCTTGAGCATCTATGCTGACCATTTTCTGATGGGTCAGTGGGGTTCTTAATGGCTCGTGTTTCATGGAATTCAACATCACAGCTTATGCATAATTGATGTGCCTTGTTTTGGAACTTGCCTTGCTTACTAATGTGTGACTATTGTGAGGTGTGGAGGTAGCTATTAAATAATCCACAATCTACTCCTGATTTTGAGGTAGTACTTTTCCCAAATAAAAAGAATGCAGGGTAGTTGCTGATGCATGCTGCTCTGGGGCATATTGCGTTTCAGCATAGAAGCGCATACTAAACACACATAGTATTTCTACATTGTCCAAATATTAAAGAATCACCTCTTGCTAGCTACTGGATTTAGTTATGCATAGTCCCTCTGGTTTGCTGTGACTCAGCAACATATTATGGAATCGAGTTTCCTTTTACTTCTGATGCTCAAACAAAAATGTTTATATTAACAGGTTTGGCATTGCTGAGTACTATTAACATACGAAGTGGTGGTCAGAGGGTACTAACTCAATTTTCTGCAGACTCAGTTTCAGGTATAAGTGTTCCACATGTGTATTTCTAGATATATACTTGGGTTAAAAAAAGAATTCTGGAATAACTCAGTCACAGCATGAGCACTGAATAGTATGGAACAGAAATACAAGTTTTCCAATAAAGATATACTAAAAATAGAGGACATGAAATCTAGTTGCATAGTATTCAAAAGCATAATCTCTAGGTTTAGGAGATGCAGCCATGCTGTAGTCCAGAGATGTGTATAGATTAACTTTTTAGTGCAACCTTTAACTAACAGTTCACCATGTATTATCACTATTATTCTGAGCAGACTGCAGAAATAGAAGCATGAAACCCTGGCCAAGGCAGTCACACTGAATGTATTTAAGTTCATGCAGTAGGTTTATTTTAAAATGCTCAACAGCTGTGTAATTTAACATGGAACTTTAATGTGTGTGTGTTTCTCAAATATAAGTGAATATGGAAGAAATATAATACAAAAAATCCAATTTGTCATTTTCTATAAAGCCTCTTGCAATTTTGGGTTGCTGAAGGCTCTTATTTTCTCATGCATCCTTGTTTTTGCAGCTCAATGCTGTTAATTATTCTTAGGTTTTTAAAATGCAGCGTAGTGTCTACAGAGTATGTTACTCATTTTAAAAAATAAATAAATGGCCCAGCACGACAAAGCCACTTTGGCTCTGCATGCTGGGAACCTCTGCTCTTTACACTGAAGTTCCTGGCTCTTGCAGCAAAATGCAGAGGCGGGGAACGGGAGCGGGGAAAGGGTTGCGTATATTGTGCAGCAAAGCTTTTCCAGGATGCGAACGCAGCACGTCCCTGGAAACCGGACATATGACAAAAGTCCCCCGTCTCCACGCGATGCCCTTCTGTCGGCCTAAGTATTTGCTCTTTCCATCCTCTAAACCCGGAGCGGATCCGGGAAGGAAGGCTCTGTGGGCAGGGCTAGGCAGATAGGGTGGGAGTGCCTCAGGGTGGCCGCGCCCACCATCCCGCAGACCCTCCTCTCGCGCGGCGAGGATTTAGGAGGCGGCAGCGGCGGTGGCCTCTGGGTGAGAATTTGCCCTGGGGGGCGTGGGCGAGGCTGCTCTCGCGGTCTTTGCTCGAGGTGTGTATTCCCTGGGAAATAATAGCTTGTGGGAGGTGGGCAGCCGGTTCGATTTTGGGGTGGGGTCTTCATTCAGGCCCTGCGGTGGGTGAGCGGGGTGAATGGGATGTATTGCGGTGCTGGAGGAGGCGAGGTCGCGAGGGGTTGATTCTGGGAAGGACCTTCATCTCTCGGGGGTTGGCCCTTAGGGGGTGGTCTCCATCCTCTTGTAGGTTACCTGCTTGTGTTTTGACACTGGTATCTATGGGGGAATTATGGTGGGAATCTTGGACTGTACGTGGCTGTATAGACACTAGGGGTTGACCCTGAGGTTCTATGTGCAAGAGAAGCCAGTTGTTATACTAGCGAGGCAGCGATTGTGAACTGAAGGGAGCCTGGTATTGTGAGCAGGGATTGGCCATTGGGTATTTGAAAGCTGCACACAAGGGAAATGTAGTCTAAAGAGGAAGGAGATGAGTGTATGTCACTGTAGAAGGCTTATGATGAATACATGGGGAACATGCTTTCCTTTGGGGTAACTCTCTTTAGGTACATCTATTTATATGTACTATGGTTCGCCTGTCTTTTTTTGCAAGGCATTAAGCATATCCTTCTGTTATGTGACTGGCAGAGGAATGAATGTTTTTTTTCTTGTTTTTTAATGTACCTCTTCAGTCACACTAGATTACCCTGGGCTGGCATGCCAAGTTCCTCAGTTGCATTTGTATATGGCATTCTTCTTTCACTGATTAACACTTAGAAATAATTCATCTTGGCAGGGAAAGGGTGGGGAATGACACACAATACATGATATTCTGGTGCAGAAAAGCTGTGAGTTAGACATGATCTCTCTCTCCCCCCCCCCCAAATCCCCACCTTCCTGGAACACAGTGGTGAAATTGGAACCTTTACTTGCCAGTTATTTGGCAGGATGTAGCAGCAATCAGTTTCTAAGGAGACATATGTAGCATGCCTGATGTTAAGATCCTGCTAGGTGATCCTCATGTTTTGTGTTATGCTTATTTTAAAAGCTTGCCTTGGCAGTTCTGTCAATAATAAATGTCATGATTGGGGTGGGGTGGGGCAGGGAGAGCCCTTATGTGGAATAAGAAAGGTAAAGGGACCCCTGACCATTAGGTCCAGTCGTGACCGACTCTGGGGTTGTGGCGCTCATCTCGCTATATTGGCTGAGGGAGCTGGCGTACAGCTTCCGGGTCATGTGGCGAACCAGAGCAGCGTACGGAAACACTGTTTACCTTCCCACCAGAGCAGTACCTATTTATCTACTTGCACTTTGATGTGCTTTCGAACTGCTAGGTTGGCAGGAGCAGGGACCGAGCAATGGGAGCTCACACCGTCGTGGGGATTTGAACCACGGACCTTCTGATCGGCAAGTCCTAGGCTCTGTGGTTTACCCCACAACGCCACCCGCGTCTCATTTATGTGGAATAGTAGCCTATTAATCCTGTGTAGAATTGGGCATGCTTAACTGCATAGGATCAGGCTATTGATGAGCAGACCATTCTGCTCACTTTTTAATTTACAGAGCTTCTGCCAGCAGTGAAAGAGGTTGTGTCTTTCCTTTTCTCCCCACAACCTGAATACAATGAATAATTCATATTAGCCCGGGAGGCCATAAAGTATGGATCTCATATCATATGGGGTCAATACCAATGTACAGTTGAGTCCCCAGGCTCAGAGCATAAAAGGCCACAAGCATAATAAGAGACATAGTCTCTCCTTTCTACCTAGTATAATTCAATTTTTGTGTAGTCTTGTCCCATGTGTAGTTACAGTGGTACCTCAGGTTAAGTATTTAATTCATTCTGGAGGTCCGTACTTAACTTGAAACTGTTCTTAACCTGAAGCACCACTTTAGCTAATGGGGCCTCCTGCTGCTGCCGCGCCGCCAGAACCCAATTTCTGTTCTTATCCTGAAGCAAAGTTCTTAACCTGAAGCACTATTTCTGGGTTAGCGGAGTGTGTAACCTGAAGCATATGTAACCTGAAGCGTATGTAACCTGAGGTACCACTGTATTTCTTCCTTCTCCAAACTTCTGTGTTTAAATAACACAGTAACTGAGGTGTTTCAATGCCTTCAGGATATTACCAATGAAGTTTATTTTATTATTTATTTTATTTATTGAATTTATATATCGCCTATACCCATGGATCTCAGGGTGGTTCACAAAATAAAAAGTTACAGCAACGTATGTCTAACAAGCAAATAGTCTTTTGGTCATGCATGCATTCTCTTGGAATGCAGTTCCCTTTGGAAAGGGGAGCAAATCTGTTGGGAGCCATTCTCTCCTATTCATACAGTACATAGCATTCTACAGTAAGTATAGACTTGGCACTAGGAATTGGAATGGTTCTGCCGTTGTCCATATACTTGAAATAATAACTTCTAAGTAAGCTATTATTTAAAATAAGTCTTAAAGTACAGTTGATGGTGGGGAAGGTGTTAAAAGACAGAGTTGCTCTTCCTGTTACTAAGACACGCACACACACAAAATCCCACTAGGGAAGTTGTTTGAAGGGGTGATGTGTCAGGAAGGAAGGTTTTAAAAACAAGCATGACTAGCCTGCGCCAAAAGTACAGTGTAAAATTGGCTAGATATAAAACCATGCTTGCTAGTATGTTAAAGGAAAAAGGCTGGCAGCAACGTCCTTTTAGTTTAGGTGATGGTTAAAAAAAGGATTTTCGGCAAGCAGCAATGCAAAGTTGCAAGAGGATTTCAGTTGAGGTGGAACCACAGCTGCAACATTGTTGTTGATGATGACAGGGCTGTAGCATGTAGGTTTGGAACATCAGAGAACCTGCTTACGCTGAGCAGAGGAGTTAGGTCCCTAGGAATGCACCTGTAAATACCAGGGCTGGGCTGAGGCTTTAGCACAGATTAGTCTTTGACGTACACGTTATAGGAGTTCGTCTCTCGCTTGGCACACAGGCCAGTAATCGGGAGATCAAATGAGATGGTGGTTTGGTGAGTAGGAGATGAGCAAAGGCTTTTGACTCGGAAGACCAAGAAGTGGTACTGTATACTTAAGCAAGCCCCAATTCACTTTTAAGTAGAGGAAGGGGGTTGGTGGTTTTAAGAGTTGGGAATGACGTTAAGGAAAAGGCCAAGACCAGCTGAGGTACAGGACAGGAGTTGGACAGAGATTGCTGCACACACACACAAGCACACAATTCCAGGACAACTTGTCCAGTGAATGTTCTAGGTGGGAGGACGCTTCCTCATACTTTCTGCCAAGATTACAGTGGTTTTTGGAGGTTTGAGCCACCAGGCAGAAGCAAGCAATTAGGAAACAGCACGGAGAGCTCACAGGAGCAGGAGTCAAGAATCCAGCAGTGGTTGAACTGGTGAACTGGAAGCAATAGATAGCCAGACTCAACAGGAGGCAAAGAGTAGAGATAGTCTGGGTGAGGTGGGGTGTTCCATTAAAGTTAGCAAACCAGGCATTCAAAGTTGTTTTCAAGCTGAGGATGTGGTGACAAGAAAGACTGTCACCAGTACAGTGGTACCTCGGGTTACATACGCTTTAGGTTACATATGCTTCAGGTTACATACTCTGCTAACCCAGAAATATTACCTCGGGTTAAGAACTTTGCTTCAGGATGAGAACAGAAATCGTGCAGCGGCGGCACAGCGGCAGCAGGAGGCCCCATTAGCTAAAGTGGTGCTTCAGGTTAAGAACAGTTTCAGGTTAAGAACAGACCTCCAGAACGAATTAATTACTTAACCCGAGGTACCACTATATTGTGGTTGTAATATTGGTGGCTGTTTAATAGTTGCATGACACCTAATTGTGGAATAGCACCATACAGAAAAATGGAACACTGGTTTATATCCCTGGGTAGCTTTGAAAATAAAAGTATGTGAGTTTTGTTGCTGTGGACATTTTAAGGCAGTGTTTTTAAAGTTTGTACTTTCATAAAACCTTTTCCAAATCTATGTGCCTTTGGGTATCTGCCCAGAACCCCTGTGTATTGGGAAGGGTGTTTCACCCCGGAACACATTCATTTGGTGGTAACTGGTCAGACTTCTTTGGCCTTGCCATCATCCTGAGTGAAGTGGAAATCACCCCAACCTTCTTTACAGCTGCACATTTCAGGGCAAGATTGGTAATGATGCATAAACCAACTTTGTAAAGAATCTTAATGTCCTAGAAAGCCCTGATAAGCGTCCAGGAAGCTCCAGGATTTCATAGAACACAGCTTGAAAACCACAGTGCTGAAGTGATGTGGAAGGTTTGTCAAGTGGTGCGTAAGCTGATGGCGCTGCTTGGACCAGATAATGAGAGCTGAGCTGGGGAGAAGTGCTGTGCTGATCTTCTTGCGTAAGAGCTCAGGCCTGACCTAACAAGGAAGTTTACTTAGCAGACCAAAAGTTGATAACATTCCTTCCTTAAAACTTGATTTAATCAGCTTCCAGTGAGCTCATTTTTTTTAAAGGACTTACTCATTTCTTTGAGTCATTTATTTGTACGTGATTCTGGGCTGTGAGGTGCACGTTCACTGCAGTGCCAGAGCACTGTAGCTGGTCTAGAATATGTTATGTTTTGTAAATGGGTGATTGAGAAGCTATTGTGCTCAGCTCCTCAGGGTGTGCTCCTAAGAAGCAGAAATCCCTTGGGGGAATATTCTTCTCAAGAGGCTTGTCTGGTATGCCTCAAAAGGACTCTTGGATATCTGCTTGCTTATTTGTTTGTTTGTTTGTTTGTTTGGCAACTTGATCTTCTGCCCAATGATATAAGAGAACTACTCTCTCTCAGAGATGCTCTGAGGCAGGCATGTCCAAAGTCCGTTTTGGGGGCCTAATCCGGCCCCCTGGCTGGTTTCATCCGGCCTCTGTGGCAGTTTATTTATTGGGGTCAAATCCTTAAAAAAGCTCAATAAGTTCAATCCTCAACAACTTTGATCAGCCCTCACACATGTTCACTTCATCAAATCTGCCCCTCTTTAGTAGTAGTAGTAGTAATAATAATAATAATAATAATAATAATAATAATAATAATAATAATTTATTTATACCCCACCCATCTGGCTGGGTTTCCCCTGCCACTCAGGGCGGCTTCCAACTGAATATTAAAAACAATACAGCATCAGACATTAAAAACTTCCCTAAACAGGGCTGCCTTCAGTTGTCTTTTAAAAGTAAAATAGTTGTTTATTGCCTTGACGTCTGCTGGGAGGGCGTTCCACAGGGCAGGTGCCACTACCAAGAAGGCCCTCTGCCTGATTCCCTGTAACTTGGCTTCTCGCAGTGACGGAACCGCCAGAAGGCCCTAGGCGTTGGACCTCAGTGTCCGGGCTGAACGATGGGGGTGGAGACAGTCCTTCAGGTATACTGGACCGAGGCCGTTTTGGGCTTTGAAGGTCAGCACCAACACTTTGAATTGTGCTCAGAAACATTTGGGCACCCCTTCGCTAAGAGGTCTGTAGATTATTTTGAGAGGGATTGTCCATGTTTAAACTTCCTCTGGAGTGAATAACCACCAGTTATTTTGCACCAGAGATAATATATATGCAAGGTTTCTTTCATCCTTTACTTCACAAAGTACATTATAATCTGTGTTCAGTCTTGCAACCACCCTTGTGAAGTAGGTAACTTCTGATCCCATTTTACAGGTGACACTGTACAATGAGTTGTAGCTGCTGTGATCGATGCCAGCAGAAGCACAGTCCTTTGCACGGCTTTGGCACTCTCTCGGGCAAGAGAGGTGAGTAGCGCTTACTCATGCTGCTGTTTCTAGGAAACCTCCCCTAAGTTGTGTGGTGTGCAGTATTGAGGGGGTGGTGGAGGATGTGGACCAATGTACTAAAGCCACTGTACTAAAGCCAGTGTGGAGACTGAGCTACAATTCAGTCTCTGGTTCTAATTTCATCCCAGTCACAAACTCACTAGGAGACCCATCTCCCCATCTGCAGTATGAGAATAGCAGTGCTGCCCTACCTTGCAGGGTCGTTGCAAGGGTTACCGCAAGATAATGTATGTCCAGTGCATTGCTGAGCACCCGTAAAGTGCTGTGTAAATACTATTTGAAATTCTGCAGCTGTTTCTTCCCTTGCAACAATACAGTTACACTTTGCAAATAGCAATAGTCAATATTTGGATTTGCCCCATCAGAAACTTGATTAGCTGAGGGCAGGGACTGAAGGCGTGCAGGGATTAGGATCTTCCAGATACCGCCCCAGATGGGAGTGCCCATTGTTTTAACAGTTCCTGGGAAGTAAGACCCCCCCTCAAAGAAATATAGTCTCCTCCTTGGCACTGATGCTTTCCATTGTCGTGTTTTCTCTCCTTCCCTCCCTATTTTTTTGTTTGCCTTGCAAATATAGCAAAGTACTTTGTGAATTCAGAAACAGTGACTACTTGAAAGAGATGAACTTGCCATGGTTGCCCCTTGTCTTTGGCTGCCATCCTAAACCCACTTACGTGGGAATAAGCCCCATTGAATTCAGTAGCACTTATTTCTGAGTAGATATAGTTAGAATCGAATAGTTAGTTGGATTACTGTAATTCCTTGTATGTGAAGCTGATTTTTTGGGGGAGGAAAAAGTCCTGGGAAACTTGAATGATCCAGCCATAATATTACTAGTCCTTAAACATCTACACTGGGGACGCGGGTGGTGCTGTGGGTTAAACCACAGAGCCTAGGACTTGCCGATCAGAAGGTCGGCGGTTCGAATCCCCGCAACAGGGTCAGCTCCCGTTGCTCGGTCCCTGCTCCTGCCAACCTAGCAGTTCGAAAGCACATCAAAGTGCAAGTAGATAAATAGGTACCGCTCCGGTGGGAAGGAAAACGGTGTTTCCGTGCGCTGCTCTGGTTCGCCAGAAGCGGCTTAGGCATGCTGGCCACATGACCCGGAAGCTGTACGCCGGCTCCCTCGGCCAATAAAGCGAGATGAGCACCTCAACCCTAGTGTCGGTCACGACTGGACCTAATGGTCAGGGATCCCTTTACCTTTTAAACTTCTAAACTAGCTTCTAGTGTATATGGGATGTAATTCTAAGTGCTGTTTTTGACCTTTAAAGTTCAAAGCACATTGGTGCCAGGATATCTAGAGGACCATCTTCTTCTGTATGAACCTGCCTTTTAGCTGAGGTCTTCATTTTGGGCCCATCTCTGGGTGTTCCCATTTTTGAAGGACAGGCAGCTATCTATTGAGGAACAGGGCTTTTTTGTGGTGTTGCTATATCTATGGAATATCTTCCCAAATGAGCTCTTCTTTGGTGCCTTACTTATTGGCAACAGGTTAAAAACTGTTTTATCCTCTCATTGTTATGGGCAGTCATACTTTGCCCTTTTTGCTATGATTTTGCTGGTTGCTTTCCACTGCTGCTTCTTTTGTTTAGTCTTTTGTGCATTTGTTGTTTATAAGCTACCTGGATTTCATGGTGTTTTAAATTGTAGCCCTTGGGTGCCTGGAAAGCCATTTGCTGAAAATGCAGGATATAAATATTTGTGTGGGTTTTTTTAAGGAAACAGATAACTAAAGAAGGAAGTGTATTGCATACTTGCGTTTTAGGTTCTTCATTTTCTTGCACGTGATGTTAGAGGAAGCACTGACCATGCTTTCGTTGCAGTTACAGTAAGAACTCAAAAGTTCTTGTATGTAACCTGTTAAGTCCCCCTACCCTCACAACCAGCAATGAAGCCAGGCATCCCAGTTCCTGCTGCATCCATGTTTTGATACAGGACCATTCTTCCACAGATTTGGCTTGTAGCAAAACTCTTACTCAAATACAGCTCCCTCTTCTGAATATGCCTTTCGATTCCATGGCAGCTCTTGGGACCTCCGCACTGCTGCAGTAATTTCTATTGTGCAGTTTTAATGGCATGGCCACACTCCTTCATCTTGATTAGAGAAATGCAAAATAAATTGGTTTGCAATATTAATTCTTTGTGTGCGATTGAATCTTCTGCTTATACCCATCTGCCCCCGTGCTTTTTCACAGCCCTTTTTATCTTTCCTCTTATTGTTCTTTGTTTCTGTGCTAATTTTGTAATGGGGGAATTTTAAGAAGAGCTGTGCATATCTATATTTCCCATTTCCCATCTCTCTCTCTCTCTCTCTCCCCCCCCCCCCCCATTCTGACTTTCCCATAGTTGGCTGGGGCGTTGTATAAATCTGCTTTGCTGAAGGGAGCATGCTGCCTTGCATGCCTTTCAAACATTACTGGGTTCTTGTAACTGTGCCAAGTCTTCAATAAGAAATCCATCCTCCCAGCCAAACCATTCCCAAAAGCCATTCCTCTTTCTGATAAAGAAGAAACGTGCAGCCGGAGCAAGTGAGCAGCCCTGCCAACAGGATCTTGTTCTTCGGCTGTTTGTTCAAAAGGGATGGGCCTTAGAAGAAAGCAGCCAACTGTTTCTGCTGGCCCAGGCACTTCTTTGCTGATGAGAAGGCCTGGGGGTTATCCAGTTGCTGCCTGCCTCCAGGGGCATTGCCCATGAAAGTAGCCAGTAGCTAACTGGAAGTACGCTGTGGGCTGCAGCACAGGTGTTCAGCAGTAGCAGCAGCAGCAGCTGAGTGTGGGAGGAAATTAATAGGGCATGAGCAATTATTATTTTTTAAGGCAGCTGGGATTTTATTTCACCGCACATGATTGCATCACAGGTAGGGGAGAGCACTGAAGGGCCAGCTTCACAAATTGCTTGCTGTTTCCAAACATGAGGAACTGGACTCTCCAAACCTGAAATTTCCTGCAGTATGTCATTTAAAACAGGAATTGTTTTAGAGCGTGATGCCACAGCACTAATCTCCTGTCTGCACCAAGGCCTTGCATCATGTTTACTTGGGAATATGCCCCAAGAAGTGTCTGTCCTCAGAACCTGCAGTGTAGGCATGCTCTGCGCATTACTTGGAGCAGTGCGGTCGCTTCCATGTTACTCTGGGGTTCCTCCTACACAGTTCAGGTGAACTGTGTGCACTTACATTGTTGACATGCTGTGCACCTCCCAAAAGAGAATACAGTAGTACCTCAGGTTAAGAACTTAATTCGTTCCGGAGGTTCGTTCTTAACCTGAAACTGTTCTTAACCTGAGGTACCACTTTAGCTAACAGGGCCTCCCACTGCCGCTGCGCCACCGGAGCACGATTTCTGTTCTCATCCTGAAGCAAAGTTTTTAACCCAAGGTACTATTTCTGGTTAGCGGAGTCTGTAACCTGAAGTGTATGTAACCTGAAGCGTATGTAACCCGAGGTACCACTGTACAGTACTTTTCCATGTATAAGATGCCTCCATGTATAAGATGATCCCTATTTATTTGAACCCAAAATTAAAAAAAACAAAACCCTGAAACGAGTGAAAATCTGGATGATTGGCAGCAGCAAGTTGTTGATCTTTGTTGGGGCGATCGCCCTCAAAGTTTCCAGCATGAGGTGTGCATGCAGTGCTGCTCCGTGGTGCAGAATCAAAGGCAGCGGTTGGGGCACCGCATGCTCCCCCTCAGTGGCAGCTGCTGCTGCAGGGAAGCGAGGGGAAGGAGGCTCCCAAGCAGAATACCAAGGGAAGAGCCGGGGGAAGGCAGCGCGCACTGTGGGCCAGGCTAGGCCGTCGAGCAAACTGAGCTGAGGAGGGTGGTGAGTGGGCTGGGGGCAGGGTGGGAGTTTGAGAGGGGAAGTGGAAAAAGAGGAAAGAGCAAGGAGAGGCAGCTGTGATATTAATGCTGCATTCTTATTTTTAGATTTTGATTCATGTGGAAATTGTTTCCCACTTGGTTGTGTATTTTTTAGATGTGGTTTATTTATTGTTTATGACTTTTTAAAATTATGTAAATCTTGTCATGTTGTAAGTTGGCTTGAGCATTGTTTTTAACTATGGAAAGGCAGCATACAAATAAAATGATGGTGATGAGGCAGTTTGCAGTGGCAGCTGCTCTCGCTCCCGTGGTCGAGCCAGCGAGCGCTTCAGGAGGCAGCAGGAGGAACTGCCTCAGCCCGCCCAAGCCAAAATCCTGGATATATGCTTAAATATTTAAAAAATCCCTCCAGATGCCCATGTTCTGTGTACAAGACAACCCCAGGTTTTTTACTATTTTTTTAAGGCTTATACACGGAAAAATATGGTACGTTGCTTCTGTGTTTTGTAAACATGATGCATGTCTGAGCCATGTGGAAAGAAGGTTATGCATTTCTGGGATGCAGTGGCATTAACCATAGAAGCAGAGCAACCATGCTGTGCCCACTGATACATTCATAGGAGCACAGGAATCTGCTTTACACAGAGTCGGACCATTGGTTTACTTAGCTCCGTGTTGCCTGTACCAGTTTTCCCCAGCCTCCAGGTGTTGGTGGACTGCAACTCTCATTGCCCATGGCCATTAAGCTATTCTTTTTGGGACTTACGGGAGATGGAGTCCATCATGTCTGAAAAGCACCAGGCTGGGAAGGCTGGTCTACTGTAGCAGACAGCAGCTCACCAGGGTTTCAGACGGGGGTCTTTCACCCACCCAAACTAGAGAGACCAGATTGAACCTGAGACCTTCTGCAGGTAAAGCAGGTGCACTACTGCTTATCTGTGGCCCTAATGGCTTGGGGTTGATGCAACCACTTTTCTCCTCCCGACCTGATAAGCCCTGTGTTCTTTGAAATGTAGTATTCATGTCATATGCTATCTTGGGTTTCCCAAGCACTGTCATTCAGAGGTTCTTATGCCTGTTGAACAACACTCTTTGTGTGTAGCAAGAGAGATTAAGTTCAGTGTAGGATCAGGTGGCATGTTTGTTTCCTTTTAGATCCTCATTGTGGGCAAAAAACAAACAAACCCTTTTCATGTTCAGCAGCTGCTTTGCTTTTGCTCAGCAAAAGCTGGTGATAACGCGAGGCTGCTTTTCATTCCATAAGGGGGTCAATCTACTGCTGCTTCAGGCCCCTGGAGAAAATAGCTGGGAAAACATGTGAGTTTGTGCCTGAGCAGGCCAGATTCCCCCCCCCCCACCTCTTTCTTCCAGAGGAAATGCTGCCTTTGCATTTTCCCCCCCCTGAAGATGCATCTGCTGCTCCCTGACTCTGCCAGTAAGACACTACTACATCATGACACTGTCACACAAGCTCAACAATACACAAGGCTTGCTGCACAATACAGGGGAACAACATGGCTGCAAGCAGTTTTGCTCCTCTCCTCAGAAGTGTGAGCATCTTAGTTTTGTCTGCGTTTTTCAGTGAGACGAGAGATATACATGGGTCAAGAGCTTTTGAGCCTGGTTTGACCTGGAAGTGTGTGTTTGGCAGCGGTGGAGAGTAGCATGTGAAATTTCAAAGATGTCTTGGTGAAATCAGCCCAATAACCGGGTCACCTTATCAGAATGTTTGAGGAATATACCCCTCCATAAGGATGATGGGATGCACTTTCTGAAAACCAGCATCTTAAGAACTGCCCTCTGGCAAATTACTCTCAGATCCGTGTATTTCCTTAACATGCTTCCTCACTTGAACCCTAGTAAGGAAGTGCTGCAGCCATTGTACTACCAGGTGCATGGTGCAGATGGAATAGGCTTTAATTCAGGAGTGGCTAACCTGTTTCGGCCTGAGGACCGCGTTGGAGGTGCATGCCAGTGGTGGGCATGACCAATGTATGTTCACTTTCATGTTTGCACACAGCACACATATATATCGCAACTGCACTCATGTATATACAGTACACACACAGAGACAACACATGTAGCATGCATACATATCAGTAGGCAGATGAACACATTCTCTCTGTGTGTGGAGATCATACCACTGGGGAAGGAGGAGGCTGTCCCCCCACCCCAGCACTGCAAAAATGTACTGCCGCTGCTTTAATACTAGAGGAGAAGTATGTCCTGCCTCCCCTCCCATGGTACATACATGCTGCTGCAGTGGAGGAAAGGAAAACCCATGTTCTCTAGGTAATGGGGTTGCCAGGAGGTGCAAAGGGAGATGTTCTAGAAGGAAGGGGGGAAAGCCATAATTTTGAGAACAGGTAGAAAGTGAACTATTTCTGTGTATAAATAGCTTCTTGGCTTTTAGTGTGATTTTTAGGTCTGCTGCTATTAGTGCATCTGCCTTTTTTTGTTTCCTCCTTCCTTCTCTCCTTTGTGAATCTCTGACTGTCTCTCTCCTGTATCTGTATCTGCATGTGTTAGCTTATGCATGCATTTTCCCCGGCCTGCTTTCCTGTTAATTATTTAGGGGGACAGGCACACAGTAAGGTTTGATCTAGGCTTGCTTCCTGATATTTCTCTTTCTTTCATTTTCTACCTGTCTTTTCATGCACAGACCAGAAAGCCCTTGAATCTGGCATTGCAGGGGATGCCTCACCTGGTATATCCAGGTGTTGCTACAGGGACCATAGAAACCAGACCGGGTTAAGCTGACCCTGGGAACAAAGAGTACTGACTAAAAAGGAACAACTGTGCTTGGAGGGGAGGCTTTGAGTGGGATCAGTTTTCCCTTGGCTTGTTCTTTTCTGGTGGACCTTTGGAGCCAGTTCATATCTGAAGCTGTTGATGGCAGGAACGTGTTGCTGGACAAGCTCCATTTTCAAGAGGAGTCAGAGGCTATGTATACAGAGGCTTGTCACTATGCTACAAAGGAAACAATAGCCACAGCAGTTCCCAAATTGCACTCCTGGGCAAGGTGTTCCCAACATCACTCTGCAGAGATCCAAAGGAAATAAGTGATGATGGCAGAAATGCTTATTGAAAATACCTGGTGCATTCTCAGCTAAAATTCATCCTCCTTTTCAGACAGCTTCTGTTCCAAAATGTGATTGCATAGCTCTTGAAGAAAGTCCCTCTGTTGTTACATATTAAGGTGGTATGGAGAGGGAAAGAGGATGGGGTTTTTTTGGGAGGGGGTGTTCCCTCATTTTTTCTGGGCCACCTCATCTCTCTGTTGAATTGCAGACAAGAACTCTACAGTGGTACCTCGGGTTACATATGCTTCAGGTTACATACACTTCAGGTTACAGACTCCGCTAACCCAGAAATAGTGCTTCAGGTTAAGAACTTTGCTTCAGGATAAGAACATTAATTGGGCTCCGGCGGCCAGCAGCAGCAGGAGGCCCCATTAGCTAAAGTGGTCTTCAGGTTAAGAACAGTTTCAGGTTAAGAACGGACCTCCGGAACGAATTAAGTACTTAACCCGAGGTACCACTGTAGTGTTAAAAGTGACACTGGAAATCTGTTACCAAAGCTGTGAATTTAGAATCCAGTATCATTCATTTTTAATACTCTGGAATGAGAAAAAAGAAACTCCAAATTACAGGTTCCATTTCTGGTGTTGCAAGAAAACCAACCGTAAGCCTTGTGGTCCCACAAATATTTAACCAATCTGCTGTGGCAGCATACACTTTTGTGGTCCACAGCTCATTTTTCTTGAAGTGGTTGCCTAAACTGTGTTGGAGTGGGTTTGATTTTTTTTTAAACAAAGACTTTCTTATTCCCTCAAGTATTGTATTATTTTCCCCACTAACCTCATGTGACTGAGACAGTGTCTTATGGCACTCAAGGTTTCACCTCCTTTTGCACGAAGGCAGGCATTCTGTCCATTCTACCTGTTGTTGTTCTCTTTCTGACACTTTCTCTCCTTTTCCCCTGGGCAGACTTGACTGTCTGAATTAGGTGCTTAAGTGGAGTCAACAGAGAATGGAAACACTCCCTTGGCAATGTCTCTGGGAAGACTCCTCCGACGTGCCTCTTCGAAAGCATCTGACCTCCTGACCTTAAATGCCAGCAGCAGCAGCAGTGGTGGCGGCTCGTCTTCCGTCTTGGATGGGGGGATTATCTACTCCAAGAACAATGTCTGTGTCCACCCACCTGAGATGCTGCAAGGCATCGTGGAGCATCACCCAGGTGAGGGCAGGCTGGAGACATGGGTTTGTTGCATTGGTTTATCTCATTTTGTTTACGAGTCTCTCCCCATGGGCAAGCTTGAAGCAATTTAACAATAAAAGCTTCAATAATGAAACAGCTATTAAATATAGTTTCAGGTTCAATACAGATACAACTGGGATAAAAATGTCCACTAGAAAGGCTTGTTGGAAGAGGAAAGTCTTCAACAGGTGCAAAAAAGGTCATAGAGCTAGCATCTGTCTGACAGGTACAGTCATACCTTGGGTTGAATGTGCTTTGGGATGAGCGCGTTTGAGTTGCGCTCCGCGGCAACCCGGAAGTAATGGAGCGCGTTGCTTCCAGGTTTCGCCGCTTGTGCATGCACAGACACTCAAAATGACGTCATGCGCATGCGCAGAAGCACCAAAACGTGACCTGTGCATACGCAGACGCGCGGACACGGGTTACATTTCCTTCTAGATGCGAACGGGGCTCCGGAACAGATCCCGTTTGCATCTAAAGGTACCACTGTATTGGAATTCCAGAAAGTGGGTGCCATAACACTAAAGGCTCCTACACTGTATGGAATGAATCTCATGATGTGATGGTGTCTGCAGAAGGCCCTGCTGCTCCTGCAGAGCATGGTGATCAGTTACGTATACATGGGGTGAGATGATATTTTCCGTTTCGTGGTCCCAGGCGGTATAAGGCTTTGCACAGCGGTATCAGCACCTTGAAATTTGATGCTGGACTTAATGTTAAGGAAAGTTCTGTTGGATACACTTTGTGCACAGAAGAGTCTCTTAGTAAGCATTAATTGTTCCATAAAACTTCTCCCTTGACTTCTTACCTCTTATTCTCAATCCGGTTTCAAAGTTTCTATGGAGGGTCCACTTGGTATTCCTTGTTCTTCCCTTCTCATCTTCCTAATGTTTTATTATTTCTTACGTAAAACATCAGAGTGTCTGTGGTGGCAAATTAATAGTTTTTTTTTAAAAAAAGACCCTCCTCTTAGGGCTAAACTGCACAGGATGCAAGATTGGAATTCCCAATATTTGTTAAAAGCTTAAAAAACAAGGGGAGCTCCCCCTTTTCCACCAGAGTCTTTTTCCCAGTTAAAATTGCATCTCTTCACATTCCTCCAAAAAGCTGCTGGTAACCATGCTGGGGCAAGAAGAAAACAGCGTAATATAGGAGCCAATCCTTTTCTACCAGTGAGAGCCAGTGTGGTGTAGTGGTTGAGAGTGGTAGTCTTGTAATCTGGGGAACCGGGTTCGCGTCTCCGCTCCTCCACATGCAGCTGCTGGGTGACCTTGGGCCTGTCACACTTCTCTGAAGTCTCTCAGCCCCACTCACCTCACAGAGTGTTTGTTGTGGGGGAGGAAGGGAAAGGAGAATGTTAGCTGCTTTGAGACTCCTTAGGGTAGTGATAAAGCGGGATATCAAATCCAAACTCTTCTTCTTCTACTCCCTACCCCACACTAATAGGTTTTTTTTTTGAGGGGGGGTAGTATGATTAAACAACGTTTGCCCCACCCCTGCTTTAGTAATTCAACTAGATTCCAGCCTGACATGAGCTCTGGAGGAGTAAATGATGAACTTAGGAAGTTGCCTTAATACCAAGTCAGAGTCAGTGGTCTATCCAGCTCAGTATTGTCTAGTCTGCATGGCAGCAACTCTCCAGGGTTTCAGGCAGGAGCTTTTCCCATCAGGGATTGAACCTTGGACCTTTTGTAATCAAGGCAGATAATCCATAACCGAATGGTGGCCTTTCCCATTTTGATTTTCTGGGACTGGCATCCTTATTCTTTGGGTTGCAGTTGGCCAGAAGAGTGCTCTGATGTTCCCTCTAGCAGATGTAAAAATGAATTGGATGTGCTGATTGAGTTGGCTACGTTTTTGCCTCTAATACCATGTTGGATCCCAAACCCGAGCTATTGTAGATACTAGCTGGAGAGTAAAAACCAGTCAAGAACGATGCTCAGTCAACCAAACATTGCTCCAGTGGATGAGGCAATTGGGTCTGGTTAGGGGAGGAGGAAGAAGTTGGGCTTAGGAGAGAGCTGCTCAAGAGGCAAGTGAGTGATGGGAGGAGCCCCAGTGGTAGCAGGAAACTGGAGTGCTCAGCACCCTTTCAGGATACCTGCCATTCATGAAGTTGGGGCTTGGTTGTAACTCTGGGGCACTGTGTTCTTTTCGTAGGCTATTTGTGCCTGTACATGGAGAAAGATGAGCTGCTTGGAACCACGCTTATCTTGGCCTGGGTCCCAAATTCCCGAATTCAGAGGCAGGACGAGGAGGCCCTCCGCTACATTACACCAGAGAGCTCCCCGGTCCGCAAGGCCCCCCGCAAGCGTAACCGCCATACTCAGGGTTTTGGCGCCACTATGCAGGCTTCCCCCTCCGAGCAGAAGCGAGCTGTGACCCCAAAGGATGAAGAAGACGTTCTGACCGTGTCGCAGCTGGTTAGGGATGTGGCTCACGTCAGCTGCCCTTCGGAGGAAGGGGAGAAGCTGTCCCAGGGTTGCTTGGCAACGGACAGCATCCACAGCTCGGCTCAGCCTGCCCACAGTGACTCAGGTATCTTATCGACAATCAGTTCTCTGGAGGAGCACAACCGGTTGGAGGAGTCAGTGGAAGAAGGGCTGGAGAGCCACCTGGAGACTGGAGAGGACGACGAGGGCTCTTTGGAGTTGTCTGCCGATGATGTCAGCAGAGACAGCACATTTGACTCGGACTCTGATGCCTTCTCTTCTCCATTCTGCCTCTCACCCATCAGTGAAGCCCTGGTGGAGAATGTTGGCTCCATGTTCCTGGTTAATGAAAACAGGTGAGTTTGTGTTCCTTTGCTCCTTTTACGGAGTAATCAAGGAGCAAGATTATCCAGTTGTAGAACAACTATTTGTCTGGTTTTTGCCCCTGCTGAGGGGCATTCACTCTACTGCTCTCAGCAGTGTGATTTTATGTATGTCTGCTCAGAAGTCCTACTGAGTTCAGTGGGACTTGCTGCTGCCTAAGTGTGTGTAGGATTACAGCCTATTCTGTTGCGCCTCAGAGGTGAAGGCCCTGGATTCCACTAGCTGTCCAACTGTGGTGACATGCGTTGACAGTAGTCGCTACATATGAGATCCCATTTGGTCATTGAGATGGTAGACCCTGCTTGTTTTGAGATACCCACTGCGATGGAGGTGTAGTTGCAAGCCCTGGTATAAGTTGTTTGATGGCCAGGATGTTACTTAAATATGGATCTGAATGTATGTACCTGTCTTTTTTATTAGTATTCATGTCACGTAAGGAATAGCTTTTAGCTGGCTGACCACATCGCCTTACAGCAAGTTGCTTCTTTCAGTTTGGGGGCACCTCTGTTTGATGTTATCTACAGGCAGCGACCGTTTTAGCTGTGTCCAAATTGACATGCAGTTGCCAACGCATTGGTCCATTTGGACCTGGAAGAAGGCAGAATGGGGACCGAACGGCGGGCAGGGCAGAATGGGGGCAGGGCACGCTTATATGGGCTTTGCTGACACACACAGGGGCTGGGAACAGAACCCTGGCACGAAATGGTCATCACCTGTATATCCAAGACAACTTTCACCTGTCTGAAAGATGGATGAAAGAGGAGCTCAGTTGTGTGCTTCAGTACCCTGGATATAGTCTTGGAGCTTAGGCTGGCTGTGCTACTATCCATGTAATTTAGGTTGCCAAGATTATAAATTGCCAGGCTGATTTTTCTCTCTGCTTTCCTCTAGTGCTCTTGTGCAGGAGTGGCTTGCCATGTCTTCCTGTTCCTGCGCTTCAAAATCTAGATCTTATACAACTTACCATTCTGTGACAAACTGCAAGGCTGATTTTCTAGGGTGAAGATTTACACTTTATCAATAAAATGTGACTGAAGCCACAGCTCTCCAATTTAGTGCAGTGCACACTGTTTTGCCCGCTCATTGTGTGGGGAGGGTGCCCTCGTGTGGCCTTTCAGTTATATTGCAAATTGGCACATGAGAAAATATTTTAAATTGCGGAAGGCTGGTTTTCAAAGCTGTTAACTTTGCATGGTTCCAAGCTCCCGTGTGCTTTTTGATGCTTACTTGTCAGCAGGCAGCATTCCTGTTCTGTGGGCTGTGGTTTATAGAATAAAGGCAGTCGAGGATTTCTCTTTGTTTCCAGAAGATGTTGCTGTTCAAGACACGCCTACTGGATAGCCGAGTTGGTTAAAGTGTGGTGCTGATAATGCCAAGATTGCAGGTTCGATCCCAATATGGGACAACTGCACATTGCTGGTTTGGACTACATAATTCTCAGGGTCCCTTCCAACTCTACAGTTCTATGATTCTATATTGCAATCTGTAGATGTCATTCTTAGTAAACATATTTGGAGGAGTACACAGAGTAGCTGAGGTCTTTCAAGCTGTGGGATGGTGGGAGTGGGTAGGTGGTTGGGAGGGTTGTTTATTGACATAAAACGATTCGAACTCACTTTTCCGAAATGCTCCTTCCGTAAAATAAATATACAATTAAAATAAATAGTACGTTAGCAGCTTCTTCTTTTTAAAGCCCCAATAAGCTTGCCAGAGAAATCAGCCAAACTTGAGTTGAACTAAGTTTTGCATTTCTTAAACACCATAAGCAAGGCTCTCCCAGGTTTTTCATCAGGCTCCGAGGGTCTCATCTGAAACACAATACAGTTTTTAGGCTGCACAGATGTCTGCATCTACATACTGGCAAGAAAGGACTGAAGTCAAAAGATAACATCTTTAACACTTTTTCAATTGTCCCATTTCTTTCTAACATTGCACAATGGTGCATCTCTCAGGGCTGAAATGTCAAAATCCACTTCTGGTTTACTTCACCTTTTATTCAGTTTACTTTTTCTTGTTATAAATGTGGTTAAAGGTTTTTAAAAATTAAATATAAGTGACTTGATCTTTCTCTTTCAAGCTTGTACACAAATCCCTGCTTCAGTAAATGTTCTTGAGCCCATGGCAAGTCCAGTAAAATTGGACAGGATGATGATGATTTTAGGTCTTTATTAAAACACAGGTTTAGACACCTTTCTAGGCCTGAGGTTTGAATTCCAGCAGTCAGTCAAATATTGCTGGACTGCACTGAGAGGCTGCTCAGAGGTAATCTCCAGAAGGAAAGGTATGTGGATGAAAACAGCTGGATGTTCATGTAATTTCAAACCTAGATCCTCTTGCACTAAATTAACTTCAACATTTGGTTGTTTGATAGTCCAAGCTGTATGCACACAGGGTGTGGTTGGTGCTTTGCAAGTGGAGTTTTGTTCACGCCATGGGATTTCCCCTTCCCCTCCTCCCTCTTCATGCTCCCAAAATCTCAGGCGGCAGAGGGACTCCCAACCCTCCAAAGTAGATTTTGAGGGTGCCGGGGTAGGGCTGTGGGGCAGGGAGGAAGGGGAAGTCCTGTCGCACAACTGGGAGTCTGTTGCGTGAGCAGAACAGCAGTGTTGGATGCTGAGAGACATCCTTTTCCCATAAATAGCTACAGGGATGTCATCAGCACAAATCAGCAGTCCCCTGGTGCCCACCCCCATTTATTTTTTGTACAGAATATCTTCTTCCTTTGCCCTGGTTTGGAAAGAGACTACCTTATTGCAGTCACATGGGGGTGGGGGAGATTTCATATATGAGCTGGATGTGCCACACAGTCCAAATGCACAAGCCTCCCTCTTCCAGTCCTTTGCTGTTGCTGCCATTAAGTGAGGAACATGCTTAATCAAGGCCTCCACGTATTTGTGTTGGTGTGGATTGCCCAGCTTACATATTGCTTCTTTCATACAGCTAAACATACGAGCCAGGATGTTGTCCTTAAGCCCTGTCTGTCTTGATTCTAGAGCCTTATTAGGAGATTTCAAGAGGAAGGAAAGGGTCTTTGCCTCTGCAAGGATGTAAGGCTCGAGCTGAGAGGCCACTGGGCTGCTCCTATCTTTTCTCCTTTGTGACCTTCATGGCAGGATGCAGTTTATGTTTTCCAGTTGTATCCTGTCCTTGTTCATTTTATACTGTTCTGGGTTTGCAGGGGGCAAGGATCCTCTAAAATTTTGGGTGCCAGGTTCTCCCAATTACTCTCTGAAATTACTGAATGTGGCGTTGGCTCAATGGATTTAGCAGGGCCTTCACAATAACTCAAGCCAGCTTTCTCGGGAGATTGGCTGAGAGAGGTGCCATCAAAGAACTAAACAGATGATGGCACTGTCATTACCCTGACGAAAGGTGAGCCATTGGGACATTCAGTGTCACACAAGAAGGGGGGGGAGTCCCTCCTCCAGCTGCTTGTTAGTTAGCAAAAGACAATAGTAGAATTGGGAAGGGGAGGTTGCCAGGGTTACAGGGGGCATGATGTCACCACAGGAAAAAAATGTCCTTTTTGCATGAGGCTTGGGTTGCATTTTAGGAAAGGTTTTGGACAGAAAGAAGGGTGGAGCCAGTGGCCATGCAGGCTGACACATGGAGAAGCTGTGTGGAGATACAGATGACATTTGGGCTACCTTTGTACCAGGACTGCACTGACGTGACGAGCGAGCCCCTCGTGAGATGCGATGCTCGGAACCCTCTCTCCATCCAGACTCAGATGTAAATATGTGTAAAGAAACTGTATTTCACAAAGATACTCCACTACGCCTCTTTTCCCCAAAGGAAACACGGACACTGGTAAAGTGCCAAGACCCCTGGAACCTCAAACTCTGCAGTGGATATTGGGGTGGCCAGAAGCTTTATATCTATATTTATATCTATATCTATACATCTATCTATCTTTTCCACCTTCCAGACAAAACCCTCCCAAGGAAGTAGGGCATCATAATGCACAATATATCAGATAATGAATCAAACTGCAGTCAAAAGGAAAATGTTACAACATTAAAATAGCAGTTGCTTGTTCCATCGTATGCAGTTTGATCCTTGTTTTGTCAGCAAGATATTTTTGGTGTGGCCACATTATAACCCTGTATGCAGCATATATGAAATTTCTGGCATTCATACACAGTGAGAGGGGGTAGCTCATCATCTCCCTTCTCAGCACTGGCCTGCTGCTCAGTTTGGTAGCTAACCACTGGTGTATGTGCATGTTTTAAGGTTTATCCTGTATGCTCATTGTATGCACAGAGGTGGAGCCTGTCATATAGCAATCTTGGATTCTTGGGGTGGTTTTTTGGTGTGTGTGCAGTGCTATGAGACACCCTTTGGTTTCCTTGTTCTCCTCCAGACGCTGCCTGGCCCTCTGGTTTTTTATTTGAACAAGGACTCCCCTTATAATAGCATGTGGAGTACAGAAATGCACAACACCAAATAGCACACATTGCAGCTGCAGAGCTGGTAAACCTGGGTTCAAAATAAACTTCCACCTGTCTTTTAGCAAGCGGGGCTGCAATGTGTAATCAAGTTAAAATGCTGACCACTCAAAAATGTGACCCCTGTTAATTGAACATCTGATTGTCTTTATTAAAAAAGATAAAAGTACCGTTCACTGCATTTCTTTAAAAGAAAGAAAGTGTGCTTTGTGTTTCATGCTTAGTGTGTTGTTCATTTGCAGAGTTAGTGGACTGGCTAATCAATTTATTGACAGTAATATTATTGATTGGTCAAGCAACAGCCCTAGTAGTAAGTAATATAGCTTTCCCCTCTGTTGCTTCTAGTGGCAGTGTTGCAGGAATTGGGAGTCCTGTTGCGACAGTCTTCAATAAAGACCAGCCTACTGGCTGCTGTTTTGCTCAGGTATTCCTGGCTGGTGTCCTTGTTTTTTGTCCAAGGGAGCCCTCAGATTTCTCTGTTAACAGCAGGAATTAAGAAACAGCTTTGGGACGGGAGGGATGCATGTGCCCAGGAAAAACGTGGAGTCCTCAAGAGGCAGCTTCTGCGGGGTTTGGCTTGATGCAATGCTTGCATATTTCTTGCCCTTTCTGTTTCAACTCCTTTCTAGGGAGCTGGTGATTAAATTGCTTTCTTGTCCAGTTGTGTTATTGGGCAGGGAGTGTGCAAGTGTCTGTGGGACTGCAAGCAGTAACTGAGTCTGGGATGTTGCATCATGCTGTTGTGGCAATTCACCTAGGAGGCTTGTGTCTGCTGAGATCTCTGTAGAATTAAGCAGGAGATGAAATTACTGGCAGCGCAGTTGTGAGCCATTGGTATGTAATGGATGGAAAAGCAAGCGTAGGGAGCAGGGAATACCAGGTTTTCGAAATTGGCTTCTGCTGTATGATGTTAACGTGGGATTTACTTCATGCAGTCTGTGTTCCTTTGTGTTCTTCTTTTTATAGAATCGGATTATCTGCTGCGTTGTCACCTATTCAGTCAGCATATTGATTGAAATAAAGCAATCCACACGTCCAGAAAGGTAGCTGTGTAGGACTAACATATCAAAAACAAAGAGCCCAGGGGTACATTTGGCATGCCAAACTTGCAAACCAATCCTAATTGCCCGATCTGTCCATAGGCTGCATTTTAAGTCATTTTAGCTCCCATCCTTGCTATGTGACCCAAGGTGAGTGAGGTTAAAATAACCAATTGATTAAGGTCCCACCGATTGTGTGTGTGCACGTGTGTGTTTTTACACCAGACAGACTCATCGACTCCTTTGTATGCCTTTGTCAATAGCTTGCCTTGCACCTACTGTAGAATTAAGGACTGAGTTGGATAATAGAATACAGTAACGGGCTGTAAAATGTACCAAATGGGCCTATTTCAGTGAGATTATAAGGCTATGTCAGAAACAGAGAGAGGCACATCTGCATCATCAAAGGCACCTGTAGGACAAAATAAAAATCCAGGAAGGAAGTGAAGCTAAGAGATTGTACCTTCTCCCCACCCCCAGGAAGGTGGTAAAATTTAAGATCAACCACCAG